AATCAGTTTAAATAAATAAATAAATATTTATTCTCGACTATGCGAGGCACGCCAATTGAGGCATGATCAGGTATGTACAGCTGTACAGACATTTTATGGGAACTGTAGTGTCAGTAGAAAATTGTTCATATGTCCACGCTTGGGACTGTGCGATGGTGAACATGCGATAGAACGATTGGGTTGTAGTGGGATCGGGATCCATTTGTTTGGACATAATCGCTCTGCCACATATCGCAGTCATACCTCGAGTAATTATAGATAAATCCTGAGGGATCCATTGGAAGATAATTGAAGAGTAAGCTATCCAGTATGGTGATTCTAATTGAGCTGCCAGTGTGAAGTTATGGGCTGTGACTTTATTCGGTGGCGAGTCACATTCGCCACGTTGCAGGGTTGTTAAACGGACATTTGTGGCTTTTTATAGGGAGAACGCTTGCCAGGCGAAAACCCACCACGTCCTGAAACACTGCCGCCAATCCATTGGATGACAAGTTGTAACTGGCTATGTTTCTTGTTGAACGTTTATTTGCTCCGTTATTCGCAGTCAAGTTACGTCCCATTTTTCTGCTGACTGATGCGCTATGCGAGTGGCCATTGCGTGCCTGGGTCCTCTCCTGTTCCAGATCGGTAGGTCAGGAGCTAAGCATTCTTTATGGATTTGATGTGTTGATCATCTGCAGAACCACGTGAAGCCTCGAAGAATATACGTTGAAATATGTTGAAGTCTTGGAGGACAGGATAGGTTCCGAAGAAAGAATCGCAGATCCCCCGGGGTATGTAGTGAAATTGATTAGAGATTGTGGTAACCACGGCCATTTGAGCGGTCAAAGCGGATTGAAGAGCTTAGAATGACCGATTGTTCAAGCTTTGTATTGGCAGGAGAATGTGCCTTCCGTAGTCGAAAGTCCTCCAGTCAAGAGATATGTGGAAGAGGCATTGTTAGATAAATTGGACTCAGTGGTTCATGCCGCGGAAGAATTGATTGATTTGTCCGGTTAGTAAGTTGTAAAAAAGTTGATAATTTTCCGCTCATGTCCAAGTAGAGGAACTGTGTGCCTTGTATTGTTGTCGAAACGGATGACAATTCCTTGGGTGCGTGTCGCCGTACCTGTGACAGACTCGGGAGAAAAAGGAAATAGGCGTTGTTTCTGTGCCACGCAGGGGTTGAAAGCCATGCTTTAGAGCGTTTCCTGTTGTTGGCTTGACGTGAGTTGTTCGAGGCTTTTGGGGTTTCGGGCCGATTGCTACTATTAAGCTGATTGTTGTCAATAGGCAAGTAAACAACAGAATCAGGCTTATAAGTCTGGCCTACAAGGCCAATAGTAGACTCGACACTCATGTCCGAATCGCTATCTGACATAGCACTTGCAGTATCAGCGGCAATAGCAGAGAGTGAGGGTGAAAACGACCTGTTCAATGCAGGCTGAAAGAAGCTTCCTGTTATGATGGGTTTCGCGGTGGGAGTGTGTTTCTGCTTAGGGTCAGTGACAGCAGGCAGTGGAGTATCCAAGTTAGATACCCAGTTAAGAATGCAATTAGATGGTTGACCAGGTGCGGCATGAGTGTCATGCATGTCTGAGTAGCCATAAGTCCCATCGCTAGAAGAATCGATGGTTATAGCAGCCAATGCAGACGAAGATCCTGCATTGACTTCAGTCCAAGGCAAGTTTCGCACCGTTGCAGATTTCGCATCCGAAGTGAGACTTTGGTTTGGAGACAAGTCGAGGTCTATCACTGGCACGATGGTCGGTTTAGCCGAAGAATTTGCAGATGGGTCGATAATAGCATTGCGCTTGCCCTCTGGCTTGGTTGACGACATTAAGGATCTTTGAAGTGGGGTTTTGTCAGGTTTAATGATAATCGGCCCAAGGTTTGCCACCATAGACACAATCAGCCTACGGCCTATAAATGTTTCAGCAAGTTGTGGAGTAGGGAAAGTCAAAACTATGGGGCAAGTGCGAGTTTTACCAGACTTGCGTAGCCGTTTGCATGCACAGCAATCTGGTGGTGTGTTGCATGCACTTAAAAGAGAACGTTTCACTTTTTCAAGTGACAAGCGATCAGGTACATTGAATATGACGGCATTCTGGGAACGACGTACACGTTCCGTTACTTCGTCGCTAAGTACTGCTAATAACTCGCCAGCGGCGTTCAGTTCATTTGGGTTATCAGTTTTCATTAATCCCGACAGCACCGACAGTGGTTTGAGGTTCTCCAAAGTTGCAGTCATCGTAAGCAGCTCATTTTTAAGCATGCTAAGCTCATTTTCTAATTGGTGAATTTTGACTTGAGCTGCGCTAAGTGGGTCATCAAGCATGACCCTGCAATCCTTCACCACGGATGATAATGCTGAGGGTGCTCTCGTTGCTACCGTCTGCACTGCTCTCTTTGAGGAGAGAGAGGGATTACAACGTTTAGCACGCATTGGTCAGGAGTAAACAGAGAATGACAAAACAATGGACAGCGTGAAAACCGTAAAAATGGGTAAGACACGGAAAACGACGAAGGGTTGCAAAAGCGACGAGGGAGGTAGTATAGAATATATTGTGCTACTGATTAGTAACACAAAAAGACCGACAAAGTGGATATACGCAATTTTCGAAAATCTGAACAGCAACGCGAAAAATACGCACCGTTTCAAATTCGCGCCACGGTTATAAGTATGTCAGTGATGATGCCTAATACTACTATCACACACCGTGGAGCCGTGTGGTATTTATACGCGCCTGGGTCCTATTACCTTGGCATAAAATATGCCACCGATGGAGACTATATACTACGAGCACGATCCTCGGAGCTTGGTACAAGACGCAACCGGCCTAGTTGCAACTAACTGGGCTCCAAATATGCCACGGATGGGGCCTGTACACCGTGAGCATGAGCCTTGGAGCCCTGTGGTACTACCACCCACCTGTGTCCGATTACATTGGCACCAAATGTGCCACTGGCGGAGCCGCTATCCTGAACCACTAGCCTTGGAGTTTAATACACGGCGTTACCGGCCCAGTTGCAACTAACTGGGCAATAAATATGTCACGGATAGGTCCTTACACTATCAGCATAATCCTTGGAGCCCTGTGCTATTTTTACGGACCAGGGTCCCATTACATTGGCATCAAATGTACCACCAATGGAGCAACTACCCTAGTAGTACGGACCTTGGACTCGTGGGCTACTACGACGTACCTGAGTCCTATTAACTTGGCACAAGACGTGCCGCAGTTGGAGGCAATATAACCCAAGCACGAGCCTTGGAGCCGTGCGCTATTAAAACCCACCTGGATCCTAAGACCTTGGCACAAAATATGCCACCATTGGAGCCTCTATTATTCAAGCACGAGCCTTGGAACTGTGTGCCATTATTACCCACCTGGGTCTTATTATATTGGCGCCAAATGTGCCACCGATGGAGCCCGTACGCTACGAACACGAGCATTTGCACCCAGTACTATTACAACCCACCTGGGTCCTATTATCTTGTCTTCAAACGTGCCGCTAGTCCAGTTAATTGTCAGAAACGCTTAAACCTCGAAGAAGTGCGGCAAACAGGATAACAATCCTGCTTGGTATTGAGCAGAAAGCAATATAAGTAAAGGTTCAGCATTGTTCACTAAATACTTGTCTTGGATGCACATGTCCCATGTAGGGTAGCCTAACATAAAGTCCTATTCATCGTCCAAA